TTGGGCAACAGACCAACCTTAAGAATCCCCTATATACCAACTGGTCAGTCTGAGGCACTGCCTTTTCTTTACCTTCACTTTCTGTTTGAGGATATCTGTGTTCTGACATTATATGGGATACAGCCATATGTCACCTGTACATTATTATTCACACACCACACCATCAATTATTAAATACATACAAATAAATGCTCATGCAGGCAGAAAAGGCACCCTACCCACCTGGCTTGTGTGGCTTGCCGGCTTGGGATCCAGATCACCCATTATTCCTTTGGCTGAAGAATGGCCCTCTCTTGAGCGAGGCTTATGTACACAGAAGGGTGCACTTTGGGGAAGAAGCTACCTTGAGCATTAAAGCTCAACAAAGTCGACTGGCATTTGAGCCAGGTAAGATGAAATGGACCCCCTAGCCCTACAGCTGGAAGCCAAAAAATCTAGCTTCCACCACTATTAGGAGAAAATGGGACACAATGAAAATGAAGGGATGTTTCTTTCAAGAGCCCTGCCTGGTCAGCAAAGGATGCACACCTCCCTTTGATACTGTAAGGGAAAATAAACTCTTGGAGTCATCAGACCCCTCAAAATTAGCAGATGCTGATAGGCACCAAAGGTGAGAGGAAAACAGCAACTAGGGTTGCCAGGTGTCTGATCTGGTTTTTGCCTGGACAGTCCAGGATTTGTGGCGCCTGTCTGGTAAAAAAAATAGAATTTTCTTTTAGACAGAAGGCCGGTGGGGACATTTAGCACAGGAATTTAAAGACATGGTGACCTTTTTTTTTTCCTCAACGAATTTTTTTGGGGATATTTTGTGAAAGTATCTGGCAACCCTAACAGCAACTGACCCAGCATGAGCTGCAGTTATTTGAGATGGTGTTGTCCGGGTAGATCCTACTGCTGGTACCCATGCCCCAAACATGCAGGATTGGAGTATTTGCATGGTAGTGTCTGTAAGGGCTCCGCAGGTGCCTTGTGCCTCCTTGTACTCCCATGCAATGGCATACAGGCCATGACCCTGCCTCCATTCCCTCACAGTTCAAAGCCTGGGGTTGCTGAGGAATGTGAGAAGTGAGGGATGAAAGGTGGGTTATGGGATCTGCACCCAACTATCTCAAAGAGGCACAGGTACTGTATGATTGGTAACTTCTTTCTTCAAGCATATATCTGTGTGAATCCCACTGTAGGTCACTGGCAGTGTGCCCTTAAGATGAGGGAAATGAGGTGTGTCAGCTGCATTAGTTGAATAGCGATTGCCGCACTGTTCTGGAGCTGGCATCAGACCAAGCAGCTAAGGCTAATGTGCAATGTCTGACAAAGGTCTGATAGTTACTCCATGCACTGCTGCCCTACTGATTTAGGTGCCACATTCCTGGAGCAGGTGCAGGTTCCACTTGAGCTCTGATGGAGTGAGCCATAACATCGAACTGGGAGGGACTCATAACATAGTGAGCTGGCCTCAATAATGTTTAGGATCCTACCAAATTCACGGTCCATTCTAGCCAATGTCATGGCCAGAGGGTTTTTTAATTGGTCAGTTTTGTGATTTCCTATGTTTACACCTAAAATTTGATGGTGTTGTAACCATGGGGGTCCTGACTCAAAATGGGATCATTGGGGCATTGCAAAGTTGTTTGGGGAGTTCTGATATTGCTACCCTCATTTCTCTGAAGGCAGCGCCCTCCCAGCTTTCTGCAATTAGAAGCGGCTCCTGGAGGTGGACATAAGTAGGGACTTCCTGAGCCCTAGTGGGAGCAGTGGGTGGTGAGTCCCTGAACCTGGATTGACCTGACTGGAGCAGGTGGGGGCAGAAGTCCCAAGTTTGAGGTGCCCAAAGTCTCAGCTGCAGGGAGGGGCTGGGAGCCCAGAGCCTCCAGTTGGAACCAGGGAGCAGGTGAAAGCCCAGAAACCCTGCCAGAGCAGCAATAGAAGGGCTGGAACCCGTGGCTGGAGCAAGGAGAGGTGCACACAGAAGCCCAGAGTCCCAGCCAGCGCAGCGGGGTGGAACCCCAGAGCTCCGGCTGCCCCCAAGATCCTGCCAGAGTAGCAGTGGGAGTGGGATGTGGGTGCCCTGGAACAGTGAAGGGGGACTGGAGCCCTAAGCCCCAGCTAGAGTGGCCAGGGGTTCCCCAAGCACGGGCTGCACCAAGCTCCACCAGAGCACCAACAGGCAGAAGCTTGAATTCCTGGCTCCCCCACCTGCAGCTGGGACACAAGCCCCCAGCCTTGGAAGCAGCCACTGGAGGGGAAGAAGCCCCAAGCTCTGTGCCTGTAGGTGGCCTAGACACTCAGAGCACCCCGGCTGCAGCTGCCAGAAATTAAAGCTCCCAGCTTGGCAGGAGCCACTGGAGGAGGAAGCCCTGAACTTCGTGCCACCTCTGGAGGTATGTCTGATCTCTCCCCCAAAAGTGGCTGTGAGGAGGAAGAACAACTCCTATCCCTCCCCAGTGTGGCTGGACTAGCAGACAGTAGCTTCATGCTCCCAGGAGCAGGAGAGATCAGGTTTCACGGAGGAAAGCTGATTTTGCGATGTGACCCATTTTTCATGGCCATAAAATTGGTAGGACCCTAATTGTGCTCTAGTCTATTCTCTGTGATGAATCACCTGACCTTATGAGTGGTTGGTGATGGCTCTGGATAAACAAGAAGCCAGTACGAACAGGTTGGTTCTGTCGATGTAATAAAGACAGGCTCCGGAGACACACAAGTACTGCTCTCTTGTGGGGTTTGCAGGAAGAAGCTAGCTTGATTAACTGATTGGTTCAAATGGAATTCCAAGACCATCTTCAGGATGAACATAGGATGAGGTTTCAACTCCACCGTGTCTCTGAGTAATGTCATAGGGACGCACAGCTATGAGGGCTTGCAGCTCACTGACTCCCAGCTGGTGTTACGGCAACTAGAAAGACCACGGGGAGAGAGTGAAAGTGTAATGAGCATTCTGAAGGAGGCTCAGAGGGA